CATAAGGAGACACATACACGTAGGCATACAGATAAATCATCAAGATAGGAACGAAAGTCGGACACATAGCTATCTTACTTACTACGTTTCGATGAATGCAACTCAAGCAGAACAATTTTCGAGAAAAGAACTGCCCAAAATGAGTTGGTCGCGATTGCGAATATGTCACGATCTCCTCGTCCCTTACAGACGCAACTGGGAACAAATAGTGCGAGAAACATGAAGAGGGTTAGTATGTGCCATAACCGGAATAAGTTCAAATGAACCTTATATAATATATGAAAAAAGCGTTTTCAGATTCGAATCACATATTTCAACTACGTTTTAGCCGGTTGTTTTATGATCTTTTAGAAAACCGGTCCTTAGTGTCAGGCCACTTTGTTGAAAAACTAGGCTATATGTAAATGAAAAGGGAAAAACAGTTACAAAGCAGAGATGGAATAAGAAGAGTAAAGATTTGGGATAAAAATCACCTTCTCTTGTTGGCGCCTAACAACCGCGAAACCTGCAACGAAAGGCTTATTATTAGATCATGTTTCGTTCGGTTTAATGACGAACCCAAACCCAAACTGTTTGGGACAAAATCTAAATATGATTTGGGTTTGGTGCATCCTTAACTACAATGCAGAGCTTCGAAAAACTATAAATGTATGAATCATACATCATCGTACGAGATGGTCCGGCATCATCAGAAACTGTTTCAATAAACTAGAATTTGACTGTTTTCATCCTAAATTCAGGAGGTGTATCCGGAACTACTAGAAAAGGACACTCCCTGTACACCAGTGAGATATCCCTATTCTAACATCGTACATGTTCATCAGATTGGCGTTAGAGAACATGCCGGCAGTGAAATTGAAGCGTAACATAAAAAATTAATAAGAAAGAAAGTATGACGACAAAAACATAACAACGCGAAAGACAAAATGAAAATAGCTCTCTGCCGCTTCACTCTGTGGTCTTAAAAATTTATAAGAATGACAGGATTTTTAAAAAGGTGTTTTTCCAAACAAACCTTTTTTTAAACTCCTCGAAAACCTTTGATATAGTAAAAAACAACATGGACTTAGGGTAGCCACTAAGGATTATCCGATTACATTGAATGTTAACTTTTCATTAAAACGTTCCATTTTTAACTAGAGGAACTTTAATATTTTTGTTTATGGCATTCAACAATATTCATTGAAATAAAAACAAAACAAAAAAATGAGTTTTTTTTTCCTTTATATTGTTCACAGAACGTTTACTTTTTCTCTACAAATGTTTCCTGCTCAATAATATTCCAGTGCTGTAAGTGGTTGAATTAACTATGGCCTTCTCTAGTATAATCAGTTATTTATTGTTGATTGATGATTTTCTTCCATTATCTGTTGCACAATTTTTTAGAACACATTATGTTTTGCCTACTGAAGAAATAATCAAAGCTTCTCTCTTTTCAGACCCTAAAAATAACCGGTCAATAGAAATTTTAGATAATATAAAGAAGTTCACTGTAAAAGATGAATACGTGTATCATCATATAAGAGTTTTTGAGAAAACTGGTATGAAGATTGTGTCGATAGTACGCAAGCAGTAATATCAATTCTTTAGTTTTTGTAAGATGTTTATAAAATGTATCGAGAAGAATAAATATATGATAGGCAAACAACTGAGAATAAAAATGAATTTTAGTAATCATCATATATTTTTTGTGGTTTTTTTAAGCTTTATTGGCTTAAACTCTATTTTACACCAAGTTTTATGAAATATAATGATTATTACTATTATGACCTTGCTGAACTTCATGCAAATGTGCTGTGTCTTCTCTGTACTGTACTTGATTTTTTTATTATTATCAAATAAGTGTTTATATAACACAAATATATCCTTCTTTCCAGTTTTTCTGGACTATTTACGATCTTTTATTTACATCATCATATTTTAGTTGATGATATTGATGATAGTTATACGAGAGAAGATGCAATTATTTTTGATAAATTTTTTTGATATAGAAGAAAGATATTTTGCAAATATTCTCATATATCTAATTAGCTACGGATTAGGTTAGAATGATACTCTGTCAAAAGATAAATATTAGTAAATTTGGGCGGTTTCTTCGTTTTTTTTTTCCCATATAAACTTAGAGAGGAAAAACCCAATACCACATAAATTATTGGTTTAGCCAATTGTGTCGACAATATTTTTCGCGGTTTTGGTTGTATCTTTTCTAAATTAGATGATTATGTGCTGAAAGATAATCATAAGAGAAAAATTTCTTCTCGTTTCTCTTGTTTATATCACTATAAAAAGCCTCGCAGAAAGAAAAAAAAAGACGAATTCTAAATATTTCTGTACACTATACATATAGTTTACTTATCTTTTTCTAAAGCGTGTATGTATGTATCATTATCAGCAGCAACAACTTTACATGTCGAAAGACAAAAATAAATAGATAAATGATGTACTGAAAAAAAATTCTTCTTTTCTTAGCATAATATACAATAGAAAGAATAGAGATAATTATTTAATAAGTGTTGCCATTTGGCTTTTTTAGTAGATAGATATGGACTCACATAACAACACCAATATCGCGTAAAAGAATAATAAATATAGCAAAGAAAATTTTTTTTCCGCATACTAACGTTTAGCAAATATCGTTGTGTGTATATGTGGATATATCCCTGCTTTTGCTTGTCTTCACCCTCTTTTTCTCTTTTTTTTTTTTGTTGTAGGTAACAGCAATTCACCATCGAATACCACTATTTTTATATAGTTTTTTTTCAGTTTATCTTTAGATATCGTATACATACATCTAATAATCATACACTTTATGTTTAAGATCTTTTTTTTTACAATCTTATAGAAAAGTAAGTTAAATATATAATTAATTCTATTATAACAGAAGAAAAGTGAATTAAGAAAAAAAAAATTTATGTATCTGCTTGTTGAACGTTGTCTTGAAATTTTCTTGTACACTCAATGTACACTTTTTAATTCCGATATATATATTCGATATGGCAAGAAAATGTAAACTGATATATTGGAATTAATTCTTATAAATGGACCAGGCGTGGATACAGAAATTTTCAAAAAGGTACGTGAGGTTTTGCAAGAAAATTTCAAAAATAATGCATAATCAATATTTTTTTAAAGAAACGTAGATACGACGATACATACTGTTTATAAATTATAGAATATAACAGAAGAAAGTCTTTTTCTCGGAGATACATACAACCACACGTAACCAAAATCCGCGCCTGAATCAGACATATTATCTGTTTATACTTTTTGCAGTATAGTTTGATATAATTAGATTGCAGGTAGTTTGATTATTCTATTTTATTGAATTGAGAAAGGCACTTTCAAACCATTGAGATTCATTAGTATCTAAAATGTTAGATTTGTACTGTAAGTTATTGTGATACGCTAGAATAATAGTTAGTCTCTTTTTATTCGTGAGAAATCTGCCTTATATAACATGTACGAGAATAATATCACCATGCCGTTTGTCTCTTACTGATAAAATGATAAAGAGTAAAATTTTTAAATTTAATAATATTGATTACGTAAGATAATTTATATTATTGCCACTAACGAACTGTAACATCAGCTTATCGCTTATATTACATTCAATTTAAATGAGAACATTATTTCTTATTTCTGCTGTCGTTATTCATACGTTTCAAACTTTAATACGATATCAACTATCGACACATACATATCCGTCTCGAATATTGTTGTTGTATAAATGCTTTTATGTTTTATCGAACTGTTCATTCATAATTATTCTACTATGTTGGATTGATGCTCCTGCTAGTAATTTATGTTAGTTGATATTATTACAGATGTGTTTATAGAAAATAATTTATATATTGGTAGTCGAATACTGAACTATTGATTAAAGAATGTGATGGTACAAACGCTGTTCATTTACATACACACAAGTGGGAATGTTATTGAAAAACAAAAGAAATTAATGCCATGTATTTGCGAGAGAGAGAGAGAAAAAAAGAACAAAAAGACAAATTGATTTATAGCCATATATGCAAAGGTTAAGATCAATCAAAACGATTACATAATATGACGTGCATTATCACTCCTTGTTTCGATCATCTATGAACCGAATCATCTTTCATTGGTCATGCTTTTTATGCTAATCTGATTTTCGGTAAATGTATACGGATATATATATATATGTATATTTATAGGAGCATTAACAAAAGTTGCAAAAAAAATGAGTATTAATTTGCTAATATTCTCATTCTCTATTCAAAAGTAAGGGTGTTTAGATATAAAGTTCTGCTCCTCATTTGATATTTACTTTTTTAAAAATGATATTTCAATAATTGTGATATTTTTTTAAGCAAATTATTTGAGTGCACTTTTCTTTTAGAGAGAGACCAGTATTTTAGGAAAACAGACGAATACGTTTGTTGCTGGATATAGTTTCTTTAATTCTTATGTGCCTATTCATAGAAACACACAGTAGACATTCATTTTCCTTCATATGAAACAATTTTCAATAGTATAGAAAACCATTGTTTAAAATTAACTGTTTACTTTCGAATTTTTTCACTATATTAACTATTTTGATAATTCTTTACACGTTCAACATCCGTATGAATATAAATGTTGGTAGTATGTTTTGGCTAACTTATTTTAGTTCAGATTAAACGTCATAGTATTTTCAAAAAAGAATTTTACGAATTGAATCAATAGTTTTTCCCTTTTGCTCTTCTCTACACGTAAAACAATATTTTTTTGAATGAATGATTTCAGCTGTCGTCTAAGAAACAAGGTATTAATAACTTGAAAACTAGAGTGCATGAAAATGTATTAGCAAAATCTTTTTGTCTTATTATTTACTGCTTTTCATTCATTTACGCTATAACTTTTACAGAATATACTTTGTTCTCTTTTATGTTGTAGATTCTTCATTTTTAGTCAATTATATCCTTAATGGATACCAAAACAATCTCAGGTTTCCTTGTGTGGTTATGTATTTTAGCTTGTTTAATATTATGTCAGGTAATTATTGTTTTGAAAGCGTTTATATATTTTGCTAAAACATGATTCACCTTTCAATTTCATTTTTTAGTGTGATTCAGCAAAAAGTGACTCTAGGCAGAGGTTAAAAAGGCAAGCTGACGAAGAAAGTAAGTTGGATTTGGTTTTTTGAATTTCTCCCATTCAAAGACAGGTTGCCGTTACTGTGGTCTTCTCAATACTTATTCCTCTATCTCCATCACTTTTTGAAACCGTTCAGACGTTGTGTGTTCCGAGGATCAAAAAGCATGTAGAGATAATGTCACACAATATGCCATCTATTGCGATGGTACACCAATGTCTGGAGATGAACCAGATAAATATGATTGTAGTAGATATCTCGAAAATCTTTCCACATCGCCCACAGTTGTAGAAGTCAACCAAAACGTTTAATAGAATTAGTTGTAAACGACACTATGATTGACAAACACATACATAGTTCCTGCATTATATGGATATCCTCTATTCTCGCTTTTATCCGCTTGGTACAAAAAAAGACCACATCTCACCGTTACACATTTCAGCTGCTAATGATACAACAGTAACTGTTGGAGCTGAGAATACAGTCGTCGGTGCGCAAACCACGGTCACAGATTCTGTTGTGGCAGCTGTAACAAATGATTTGGCGACGGAAGCAGATGCTGGTGATACAAAGGCAGTAACAGTTTCCACTAGTCAAGCAGAAACAGTAACCGATAGACCAGAAGTTGAAAGAATTGCCACCGTCCAAGCGCCTGATGCCAAAGCAGCTGCAGATGAAGAAGCTACTGATACAACGGAAGGAGCCCAGGAAGGAGAGACAACTTTGCCGCAAATAACACTCATTGGAAGAGAAACATCCGCGTCAGGTAAAACACAAGTAATCATGGCTGGTATTGCACGTATGTGTCTGCACGTTATTATTGACGACGCATGAAAAATATTAAATGGGACATTTTCATCGTTCATTAATGGATTCAGCTGCAAGGGGGACATTTTTAATAATGTTAGATTCTTATTGCATGGATTTACAATGGCATGTCTGTTTTTTTCCACTTTTTTTTGTTACGTATTTGTTACATGTAAGCTCTTTTTGAAGATTTTTTTCGAAAGCAAAGAAACTTAGTTCTAATGTTTTCTTGTTGTTTGTTTTAGGCGATGAAACAAGTGGCGCCACCGGTAAGTTACCATGTTTTTTTCTTTCGTACAACAGATAAGATTTAGTAAGTTGTATAACAATATAGTAGATTGTGTTTAAACAATACTTTCTTGTCATACCTGAGGAAACTGACCTTAAAAGTTCTAATACATATGAGACTAATGAGAAGCCTTTCCGATTGTTCTATGGTATATGTAAGAGAGAGATGTTAAACAATTCACATCCCATCAATCTAGATGCCAGCGTAACAGATGTAGATAATGCAATTACTGGAGTAACTGGTGATAATACCGCAGCTGCCACTGGTTTGACTGGAACATCAGAGGCTCCGGATGTAGCTGTGACAGGAGACACAACAGCCATAGGAGATGCAACAACAGCAGAAGACGATGGTGCATCAACGGGTGGAATTGGCACGACAGCAACCGAAGGTGCGGAAACTTCCGCTGGCACAGAAACAGAAGAAGCGGATGTACAGATTACAACTGTTGAACAAGATTTAAATGAAACATCCACAATAGATACGACAGAGGACTTAGGGAATGACACAAGTACGGAACCTGGAAATGGAAAAAATGGTCATCATACCACTGATGGGACGGAATCAACAGATAATGATACTAGTTCAACCGATTTGACGTCAACGGCTTTTACAATAGGTAGATTGAACAGGATGCATGCGTTGGTTGGTGCTTATTCCAGAATGGTGTGTTATTGCATGTGTTATTGTCTTGAAATGATAGAATGAAAATAATTATTGAATCAAGTATACATTGTTGCATGGCAATTTCATAGAGCGAAAAACCTAGCATCTTTCTTCTAGATATTAGATAAATAAGTATGAGATGAATTATCGAAAGTTCTTCTCTATAATATCATCATTCGTGTGAGGATAATGTTGTTAGTATATATAGCATATGTAGTTAAACCTTTTTTAAGTTTTTGCATGCGTTGATGTTCGATGTTTTTTCTAAGGAGAATCATTTACAGTGAATATTCTGCTGTGGTTTAGTTTTATGAATAATCTCTTATTCTTTTGTTATTTTAGATACAAGCGAAGACGATCTTAATGGTAAGCATCGATCATTTACATCTAGACTTCTTGAATGAAAATTGCATGACTTGAGATTTATTTTACATAATGACTCAAAATATTGCATTTTTATTAAGAGTGATTTCTAGTTTGATACTAATGATTTAAAAGGGAAACACACCATAAAAGTATATTTACCAGTTTAATTAAACATTATATATTAAATAGCAGCAAGAGTGATGATAATTATTTTTTTTCTAAAGTTCAGTTACACCACTTTCCTGCTAAACTGTGACAGATGAGATGTCAGCATTACGTATAATGAATGTAACTAGTGCAACGTTCGTGTAAGCATAGTTGCATTCTAATCTTATTTATTTTCATATCTCTTCTTCATTTGAACATCAAAGCCTTTTCCATCATTGCTAAAAAAGAACATCTAACTAGATTTCGGTAGACGCTAGTATCGATGTGCATCTTCCCAAAGAGGACTACGAAAACAGCGATAACACGATTGAATCAACTACTACAGTAATACGAAGAAAACGATAAATAACATCAACAACGATGATCGAGATAACAGAATATTACGATGACGAGGAAGACCGTCTAGTTTTAGATGAAGATTCAAAATTTGCACAAGCTATAACTAGTATAAGTCAACCATTAATTACTCGTTCCAAATAGAAAAGGATATTATTGATGGTGATGTTGATAAATCAGTAGACGAGAAATCTATTGAGATTTAAGTTTCGACTAATGCTGTTAGAACCACCAACATTGTTTAAATTATAGTCGAACTAAAAATGAGATAGAGAGAGATAAATGAGACATATATTAAATTATATTTGTGTTCAATTTGTGTTTAATGCATTTAATGATGTACTCGCATGTTTATGCTATATTGCATGTGGATGTTATCTACAACGTGTTACATCTATTAAAGTCTGCGATTGATTATTTTTCTAGGAACCACTAGTACAAGCGAAGTTGACACAGGGTCAACAGGCAAGTAACAAAAAAAGTTTTCTATCTAGGTGAAATTGTAAAGACACACCCAAAAAGTTAAAGTAAAAAAAGTTTTTCTATTCGTTAAGCATAGAGTAATTTCTATAGCGAGAAATAGCTGAGACTATTTGATTGCTATGATGTTACAGAGTTTGAGTCAATCGAAATTTGTATTATTAAAATGACGACTGTAAAGATAAAACTAACGAAATAATGAAGAAGTACACATCATTTACTCTGATGGGGTATTTGCCATGATTATGTCCTATTAGAAGCTCAATGTGATGCCCATGATTTAGAATTGAGAAATACTGTTCAAAGGTTATTGAGATTAGGAAAGTTTATCCATTCATTAAAGGCAGCTGATTTTAGTGTTTATTAATATTTGATTATAATGACGGCCTGTAGAAAAGTTGTTGATAGCGATGATGTATTGATAGTGCACCAAATTAATAAGTGTGCGATAAATTAAATTACTATCTATAAGTTGTTATTACTTTTTAAGAATAATCCATACGTAGTTCGTATTTCATATAAAATGGTTTGCCACTCAAGTTTTACTATATAACTAGAAGAATATTAAGACGAATGACAAAAAGTATGTCAATTAGAGTGAAATATCGTAATTATCATGTTCAATGAAAATGAAAACAATTTATCCATTTTTTCAGTATGAGCTTATTCAATAGAACTATAAAATAATAATTAATACTTATCACAGTATCGCGTGTATAAAACTTATAAACAGCAATATACTTTTGGTTGAAACTCAGTGACTTTCCTCTAATGAAACGTCCATAAATACAGAAGGATGACCAGTGACTTGAATTGAGTACCCTGAAAATATTTTGCGAACAAGAATATCTTCCAATATGAGATTGTTCTTTCTTTTATAGACACTGATGAACTAACAACACAACGACCAGGTCCTGTTGGTCCTTCTGGGACGGAACTTCGAGTTATTGTTACCCCGGACAATCTACAAGTTCAAATGGGACAAACACACACGCTCACTTGTACAGTTTACGGTGGCGGACCAGACACAACTCTTTATTGGATACAAGAGGAGCCGGAACGAGTACGCATATGCACATCTTTTACATTTATGTTACTTTATCGTTTTTTTCATTCATTAAGAGATACGCAGTACTAGATCACGATGGTCCAGGAGAAAAACAGACATCAATGGCATCAGTAACATTAACATCTCGAATAACATTCAATGATCCAAGCAAAATTGGAAAATATACATGTTCTGCACAAGATCCATCTGGAAATTATGGACAAGCACCATTAACAATACAACTGGGAGGCCAACCAGATTACTATCGACCTGTACGTCCTGACGTTGGTCCAGCACCAGGTATAATACAAAAATACGAAAAATTGACTTTTTAGTCTTTCAATGCCATTAAAATTCAGTGGAAAAATTCACCAATCATATTGAAGCAATCTTCTTCTGATTTTAAATCCAGCACTCATAGACTATTCGTTACTTTCTGAATCTCACGAAGCATCTCTTATAAGAGCAAAATGTTACAATCGAAAATAATTCTCTATTTATCATTTCTCTTCCTTATCATTTCTATTAGTACCCGGGAGCCGTTATTTACGTATCGTAACACCAGCAATGGCTGAAGGTGATTATGTTGAAATTCGATGTGAAGGGGCATCGGAGGAAGATGCGGGATATGTTCAATGGTATTTTAACGGAAGAGTAAGTAATAGTATCAACGTCAAAAAGTGAGAAATAAACAAGTAAATATTTCTTCTCTTTAGCAACTAACAACCGACGAACAACCATTGTATCCAAGAGGAAATGTTTTACACGTTCGACCCATCTCTCGACCATATTTGGGCAATTATCGTTGCTCAATACCAGACAAAGGTTATTCGGATGCAAATAGTGTTATACAATTTGGAGGTATATGAAGTAATTGATCATGAAATTTCACTTTAGTTTATACGCATTTTGAAATTATAGGACCATCAACAGTAACAGAACCACCAAGACGAGGTTCGTACTTGATTTATTTCCAAAGCTGAGTAATCTTTTGAGTTATTTTATAAGTGGGCATATCTTTCTTCAAATTCTACTTATTATAGTTCATAAAGCGCCTTTTTTCTTCAATAGGCTTTACTGTCACCATTATTATTGTGCAAGGACAAACATCTGAAGGTCAGGTGTCAGAAGGTAGTCCAGTAACCTTGGAAGCTCGACCAAGTCAATATGCAACACGTTATCGATGGACATTTGCGCCCGCTAGAGTAAGCTTATCAATTTGTCTAGAAATAATATTGTTACTGTTCTCTATTTTCTATTTACAGAGTCCACAGTCCACTAATGATCGAGGTTATAGTGAAAGACTTGAACTCCCAAGAGTTATTAGCGATGACAGTGGAGTGTATACAGTCGAAGCAACTAGTAATGATGGACAAGTAGCAAGAAACTCCATTAATCTCTATGTTGTCCGTAAGTATCAATGTCTGAAGAATGTCTTGTCTGTTTTTATCAATGTGCAAATAAAACAATGTTACTTTCAGGAAGAGTAGCACCTATTCAACCTGTTCAACCTGTTCAACCTGGACGATGCACGATCGATGAAGCTACCTGTCGTAATGGCCGATGTATTCCACGAGGTGCACTTTGTAATGGAGTCAACGATTGTGGAGATAATTCTGATGAGCAATGTGGACCACGAAGTAAGTAAAACTCGACTAATAGATCATGAGAGAAAAACAATAATATATACTATTATTTTCAGCCGATGGTAGGACATCCGTTTCTCAACCTACATTGCTGTATACATTTACTCAAGGCTAAGATAAACTTTTATTCGCAGTTCTTGCACTATCATCCACCAGAATTGACAATATAGTAGCATGCCATCATTCGGCTTAATCCTCTGCTCGGTGAACCTTAGCTCTTTCTGAGAAAACCTTGTTGTGTTCCTCATTACAATTGGACTAAAATTGTAATAATAATGAAAAACACAGTTTTTTTATTATGACAGTCTTCGCCAATAATCTAAGAATAATCATAGGAGGCGGCATGCATTCTATTTTTTTCAGCTTACTACTACACTGTTCTGTACCTACGATTAATTTAGAAATGCACGTTTCCTGGAATACTTTTTTGAGGATACAGCTTGATAGTTTTCCTGAAATCTAGCTTATTTAAAGCATGAACTTTTAAATTTATTAATCAATGAATACAGCAGTAAATATTTTTCTTGCCTACAGGTGCAGATGGATGTCAACCAAATGAAATAGCTTGTACAAATCCAGGTCGTGGACGAAAATGTGTGCAGAAATTTTGGATGTGTGATGGTAAAATGGATAAACTTTTTCTTTTTGAATAGATAATAACAAAAGATAATTTCTTTTCTAGGTGATCGAGATTGTGATGATGGAAGTGATGAAAATCTTCGCTATTGTGGTACATCTTGTTTCTTTTACTTGTTAGGGTGTGACTCAATGAAGTTTTTATTATTTTAGAATTATTACCTCGTCAACCATTCTGTAAACAAAGTGAATATCATTGTGGGGGTGGAAACGGAACCGGAAATCAGCCAATTTGTATTCCAAGAAGTTTTCACTGTGATGGTTATGTCGACTGTCCAGATCGATCAGATGAACTTGGCTGTGGTATGTATTCCTTCATCAGGTTGTTGTTAATCGTCTACAATGATTTTCTTCCTTTTAGTTAAACCAGTTGTTGTCACAGCTCCTCAGCGTCAAATTCACATCAATATTGGTCATACATTGCGTATTCAGTGTACAGCACGTGGATCTCCACCGCCATACATTAATTGGCGTTTAAATTGGGGACATGTGTGTGGTGATGGATCGGATAACGGTCGATGTACAATGAAACAAGAATATGATCGAAATGATCCCACACTCGTTATTGGTACCTTAGTTGTTGAAAGAGTCAATGTTCCAGACGGTGGTGCATATTCATGTGAAGCACTGAATAGTCAAGGATTTATATTTGGTATACCCGATGCTATTGTTGATGTTATCAGTAAGATACATTTTTTATCGTATTGATAGTAAAGATTAGAATTTATTTATTTATGATTAATAGTTGATCAACCCCCAAGACCACCGGTGACTGAACGCCCATGCTTTTGTAATGGACACAGTACATCATGTAATCCTGATGGAATATGTCGAGTAAGCAGATATTCTATAGCATGAGTGCAATGTGTTGCTATGTCTTCTATGTAATTCTTTAGGATTGTCGACATAATACATATGGGCCTCAATGTGAATACTGTTTACAGGGTTATGAAGGTGATGCTCGCCGAGGTACACCACAAGATTGTTATCCTGGAGCTCAAACTGCCCCACGTAAGTAAAATCTGCATTATTGTTAGACTTTATTGCTTAACTAACACGGCAACATCTTTTTAGAACGTTGTGATCCCTCTGGTACCTACCTGGAAAGAAATGGTCGTTGCATATGTAAATACAATGTTGAAGGAGACCGATGTGATCAATGTAAACGAAATAATTTCTATTTAAATCCACAAACACCAAATGGATGTTTACCGTGCTTCTGCTCGGGAGTATCGAACGATTGTGTTGGATCGGATTGGCGACGTCGACCAGTAAGTCCAATAGTAAATCAATTTTCGCTGTCTAATATTTTTACCCTCAATAGCAACAATTACCATTAACTAATTGGAATGTTGTTCCGCGAAACTTTGGCACTGATCGTTGGGAAGGTAAAAATAATATTCAAACACGACAAAACGGCGAATTGGCGTTGAATTTACAAACAACTGGTCGTCCAGCGGGTGACGTTCTTTATTGGAGTGCACCACGTCAAGCGTTAGGCGATTTAGTGACGTTATATGATGGAAATATTGTGGTTCATTTTACAAATGACGGAACGGGAGCACTGAATCGAGATGAATTTATTTGGATGAGAGGAAATAATATTGATCTTGTACACAAAATACCACCAGCAACGACTTTTCAACCAAATACAAATTCAACCTACAGTACACCGTGCAATGAGGTACGTTAACATTAGTGATCTTTAACGAAATATTTTTATATGTTCTATTGATTGTAGAGAACATTTACAAGAAAAGATGGTTCATTAATCGATCGAGAAAATATTCTTATGGCATTATCGGATTTAGATACATTTTTGGTTAAAGCTAATTCGGCTGCAGGACAACGAACTGCGGTGTAAGTCAAATATATTCGTCGTTGTGACTACTGTGCTTTAAAAAATTTACTATTTTTTAGATTACGCGGTGTTACATTGAATCCAGCTACACGTGATGGTAATGGTGATGTTGCTCGAACAGTTGAAATGTGTACATGTCCGGCCAATTACACTGGCCCGTCCTGTGAAGTAAGTGCTGATTTTACCTGTTTATAGCTTATTTAACATCGTACGATTTCTTCGTCAATCTAGAAATGTGCTGAAGGCTATGGCCGCCCTCATCCCTTAGTCGGCATTTATTTGGGCCAATGTTGGGGCTGTCGAGCATTATGTCATGAAAAAACTGACAGATGTGATCATGAAACAGGCAAATGTATCGTAAGTAAACGATATGATTTCCTCAACTGAGAACGGATAAATTATCATTTTTGTTGCTATTACAGGGATGTAGTGGAAATAGTGAAGGTGATCGATGTGAACGTTGTCAATCAGGCTATGTCATGCAAGGAAATCAATGTGTACCATGTATGACCTAAAATATACTACTAATCAGTAGAGTTTTTTATTTCTTCCGACTTAATATTTCGTTGAATTTAGACGGACAACAAGGACAATATGTTCCTTCACCTGGCTATGGTGCATCGTATTATCTCGATAATGCACCATACAGTACTCAACAAGGTCCATTAAGAATTCAAGTTGAAAGTGGAAGAGATCGACCAATTCAATTTCAAGTTTTGGTATAAATAGTGGCAATTTTTTCAGCGATTTGAGATCATTTGAGTAAAAAGTTCTATTTATTTTTAGAATGTTCAACCATTATCAGTTGTATGGGGTCGCACGGATGGTGGACCATTACCATATGGAGTTACTCAAGAAGGAACTAACTTAGTGATAAGAAATCCAAATCCATCTGTGGCAGGAAATTATATATGTACAGTTCGATTACCAGATGGTAATAGTGATCGTGTACCAGTCACTGTAGAATATCAAGCAGGTAAGAACATCTTGCGCTCTCTCTTAAACACTATTTTCTGATTTCTATTAAATTTAAGGTCGTTATGCTCCACCGAGACCAAGCGCATATCCGGTATTTAGCCCACCAAGTCCATTAGAGATAGCTGCAGGTGATCAAGCAGTTATCAGGCTCGATCAACCAAATGTAAGAAGAATGAGCAAAGCCTTTTTGAACTAACATGTAAGAACATTCTATCTGTTAGGCTCGTGTACAATGGAGAAAAGATGGCCAACCATCTTTACCACAAAATGTCTATCAAGATGGCAATAATTTACAGATTCAGCGTGCATCACCTGCTATTAGTGGAACATATCTCGCTGAAGTTTACTTGAACGGTGGAGCACCAACAATCGTTCCATATGAAATAAGAGTTCGATCAGCTCAACAGGGTGCCAACGGTAAGTTTTAAGTACTGTTTAAAAATGTTCCTATTCTTCGTCAAACGAGCATGTTTATACGCGCAAGACGTCAAAAATGAAAAGTGTCACGATAAATATACCTGACTTTATAGCGTTAACAGGTTGTAAATATGTTGTCTGTGTGTCAAGATCTTGAGTGAATCCATTCAAGATGTTGCAAGGTCTTAAGTGAAAAGTTTTGTTTTTATTTATGACAGCCATAGCCATCAGATATACGACCATATAGAATCATAGATTCTTTCTTAAACAACTATGTTCAAGAAGGAAAAAAATTCAAAGTTATTCTAAGTGTGTATACTAACAGTGTATACTAACATAGAGGAGTAACGAAAACGAGATTAAAAAATAGGTCAAAATCAAGGCTTTTAGAGTAAAAAACTTCAACTTCTTCTCCTTTAGAGATACTAAAGGAGTTTCACAAAAATTCAAGAAGTCAAGATCTTGATTACAAGAAGTTTCATTAGGGTGATTTTTAAAATGAAACAAAAGAGAGAGCAAACGACCTGGGATGTAACTGTTTGTGTACGGTATACCTATACACTTTAAAGACTGTATATAATTGAATTATGATGAATGAAAAGATCTTTTATAATATTAATATTAAAGAAATGAATTGAAAAATATTTTAATTTAAATTAACAAATGATCAAAAATCCTTTTTAAACACAATTATTTTAATTATCTTACATCTATGTTAGATTTAATACTAATTATTTCAATCTATTAACTAGGCGGACCACCAAAAGTAACAATTCAACCAAGTACAATTAATCTTAAAGAAGGTCAACGAATGATTGTACAATATACCGTTAGTGTAAGTAACCCTTTTTGACGTATAAAATTCACGCATGAATCTATAGCATCAGTTCATTTTCTAATATTAAAATGCATTAATCATCATTATTTTTGTGGCCGTTCGATTTCTAGTGTACGAAAAAAATTAGTCCTCTAAGCTGAAGTTAATTTTAAAAAAGAACTAGTAAAAGAGTAGTCAAATAATGTAGATGTAGGTGTGTGTGTAACCTAGTGGCTTTATTTACATCAGAGAATATCTTTTAAGCCTAAAGTGGAGTCTGAAAAAAATAAAACAGGTCTACTCTTAGTAGAATTTGCAGATCTCCATTGTCGAGATGGATAAGTAGGCATACGATAAATGGTATCATAATCTATATTAAAATAATAATTTTAACATTTAAATTGTGTACTCGAGTTTGTCATTACCATATCTAAAACGATTATTAATTATAAATTCTGTTACTATTTTGTAGTCTGCCGATCAAATTAATGTGGTATGGACAAAATGGAATGGTCGAGAACATGTGCCAATTCCAAACATGTTCCGTGTTGAACCAAATCGTTTAATATTAGATCGTGCGACGGCAGATGCAGCTGGTGATTATCGTGTTCAAGTATCTAATCGTTATGGCTCTGATAAACAAGATCTTCGAATAACTGTTGAACGAACAGGAGGACGTACGTAAATAATCATGAAAAATATGTAAAATAATCATTTTCTTTCTTTCTTTCTTTCAGCACGACAAAATGATTTAGCATTAGCTCCACAAGTATCCATCCAACCTGAAACATATGAAGTTCGCTATGGTGAAAGAATAAATATAGTACCCATTATAAATGTACGTCTAGTGCTTAGTACTTAATAATTTTTCTTTTTTTCCTATAAAAATATTGTCAATTACTTTTTTAGTCTCCAGCGGAATACAATGTTGTTTGGCTTAAAGATGGTTCGCGACAACTACCGGCTGGTGTTACCGTTGATCGTAACTCATTGAATGTACATGCCGAAGAAGCTGATGTAGCTGGTGATTACACAATTCAAGTAATAAATCAACACGCATCAGCAACAGCACCAGTTAAAATCAGATTTCTATCACGTACGTATAAAAAATTTTATGCATGAATAATATCGTGTCACCAAATGAAAAAGAAAAAAAACAAAAAGTTAACGAGTTATCCTTACTATACAAATTCATTTGACATCTAATCTCCTAATAAATTCTTTGTACTTACCATAATAAATGATTTTTTTTGAGATAAATAAGTGTTTTTAAAGATATACTAAGCTTTTTTTGACATTATTCCTCATTTCTCTTTCGTTTTAGAACGTTCTTCAAGAATCAATAGACAATGGAGTTTCTCTTGAATTCTGAATTACTTTCTTCTTTAAAAGAACATATTATATATTCGTAAAAAAAGTCATTATTTGATTATTCCATTAGTGTATACCTCATTTGATTCCAAAAATATCTCAGATTATTGTTATTGTTGATTACTCTTCTCTTTATTTGTCCTTTTTTATTTAGCGTGTATATGCTTGTAGCTAAAAATAAGTGTAGCTTTCAAAGATGTAGAACAGCGCTGCTTATATATATATATGTTTTTTTCACATATTATTTTGTGTTAAAACACACATACACATACCTCCATCATTTCCATCATTTGATTGCTGAATTAATAGGAAAAAAAGTTATTTGGTTGCTAATATGAGTCTTTTGTAGATTGCTTAAAAAACCTTTAAACGCTTTAAATCCTCACTGTAAAAAAAAAAGTATGTAAATAATACACTGAAAGTGAACGCCTAACGATTCCTAGTAACCGTTTAGAATGTATGGTGTATAAAATACACACTGAGAAGTGACCATATAGCTTTACACAGTAAGATCAATGATACAGTTTGGTTGTATAAACTGTTGGGGCTGAAAATGCTTTAGATTCATTGGAATCTCACATATAGCGATAGGTTTATATTTTCACTTTTTTTATTATTCGTTTTGCCTCAAAATGACAGTATGTATACTTTTGAAGGCCGTGATCACGATTTTGAAATTATTTTTTCATTTGATGAAGTTGCTAGTGAGAAAAATGAAAAATATTTAAATTTTTTAGCACACTTAGCTTGACCATCTAAAAAAAGTACACACTTTTTTTTTACAGTGTTCTGCCATTTAAAATGGTCGCTCATAATGTACAAAATGTAAAAATGTTACTTGATTGCTGTTTTTTTTTTCGGTATTTTTTATTAAAATTTTGCAAAAATGTTTGTCCTGAATAAAAAAAGAAGAAGTTAGATTTAAATCAAAAATTTTCTTAGCAAATTTATAAGATTTCTGTAGAACAGATGTTTTGAGAGTACAACGTTTTAATACTTCTGTTTGTACTTTTCAGCCGGCGCCTCAACTCAAGATCAATTTCAAGTTAGAATTCAAGGACCAAATACTATACGTGTAAGACCTGGTCAAGATGTACAAATCTTATGCGAAGTAGTAGCAAATCCACAACCCTATGTAAGTCAATATTGAATTCCTCTTATATCGCAACAATTTTCTTATAAACATAAAAAAAGATTTTCAATTATTGAGAAATGTTAAAATATTACACTCTTGAGCGTCCACGGTTCAAATATGAATATATGTGAATTTTCTGTTTAGGAACCAGTTCGATTTTCTTGGCAAAAACAAGGTGCGCCAATTCCAAATGGTGCCGATGGCCGTTTAGTATTGCGTAATGTTGGAAGTCGTGATGCTGGTATTTATATTTGTACAGCATCGATCCCAGGACAAGTTGTCACATCCGATATTGTCACATTAGAGTTAGAAAATGGTTCAGGTAAGTCCGTTTAGTATTTTGTTTGTTGCGTTGCTTCATGTGACTGCTGCTTCAAAAGCTTATCATTCCAAAACTCTTCTTCTCCTTCCCACCTGAACTCGATCAATTAATCAATCGAAATGGTGTCAGTGATCGAATAATTTAGCTCTTGCATCGGTTTCATGGAATATAAAACAAATTGAGTTGAATGAAGGACAACGATTAGAAGCATTATGTCAATTTACATCGAATACAAATTTTCCACCATCGTCATTACGCTTAAGCACAACAAAAAATCAGTTACCTGTACAACAACCATTAGGACTACAATTCACTAATGGACTTCTCACATTGTCATCTGTATCCATGCAAGATGATGGACTAGAATTAAAATGTGCAGCACCATCTGTGTCTGGATCACCAAGTGATACATTATCTATTCGAGTTCGAGCAAGTAAGAATTCCTAACCTCCTTGATGCAACGCTTTTTGCTTCTACTCACACTTTATTTATTTTATCATACATGTCTGCTAACATCAGATTAAAAAAACGCGTTTTTTTGTCCTATTAGATGATTATCCGGGTGGTAACACCGGTTATTATCAACAACCAGAAAGAGAACGACATGGATTTACTGCTCGTTTTGAACCATCTGATTTATCAAATCATCAAAGTGGAAGAGATGTTCAATTACAATGTACAGTTGACGGTGAAGTTGAGAAACCAGTACGATATACATATACCAAAGATGGAAGAGCTTTAGAAGACAGTAAGTTATATTAGAGTAATATTTGATCTTTCTTAATTACTATTCTATTTTTAGATGTTGAAGTTCATCCAAATGGTTTACTGATAATAAAAAATGCTCAAGCAGGTGACTCGGGAAGATACGTTTGTGATGTACTTTCTCAGCGTACAGGTGCTACAACCAGAACACTCTATGACCTTCAAATACAGGGTAATAAACAAAATACTGTAAAAAAATCATCGTTTTCATTTTCGTTGTTGTGTAGATGGTGGGTACGGTTATGGTGGGTATCCACAAACTCAACAAGATATTGAAGTATTCGTAGCACCAAAAGAAGTAAATATTGCCCATGGTGAGACAGCAAATATTACTTGTACAGTAAAAGGTACAAGTAATTACAAATTAACATGGGGTAAATATGCCCACGATACTTCATTGCCAGATTATGCAAGGGTAAGAATAGACATTTGAAACATAGATATGACTTAGTTGATGTATTTTTCATTCTCTCTCTCTATTACGTTGTAGCAAGTTGGTAATAGTGTAATTATATCTCCGCCAGCCGATAGAGGTTTGGGTGATGAGATGAGTTATTATCAATGTCAAGTTGAAGTATCAGGCGAAGGACAGCCAAGACACGATTATGTTGTGGTTAATTTGAGACAACCAACTAAGAAGGTATAAATAGGATGCACATCTACACGTATCTAAATAATATATAGGCACTCCTTAAGGAGTAAGTTATTGGGCATCTATATCGTGCATAAAGATTTGTAATCACTAGTCAATATATTTATTTTTTTTATTATTATTTAGTACAACAACGTTCTCTATCGAAATATAATATAAACAAACTTCAAAATCCTCTTTTTTTTTCTTATATTTTTTGTTTTTCCGACTAATGGACTGTCAGTATCAGTCCATATAGATCACTGTTGCTTATTTACGTCATACAACTCTTACTTTTGTTTTATCTTGTCAGGCGTACCAAGGTATACATTTCATAGAAAAAAAAAAACAATATTCTTGAGAGAAGAAAGATAAATAATGCTTCTTTAAATCTAGGATATTGTCTGTGAAAGAAAAGATAACAAATGTGCTTTCTCCATTAACTTGCTGCTCAATCGCATACTCAGGCTTCCTGCAATATGTATGCTCTCTGTTTTCTGTTAGTGAATGCTTCTTAGCTTAACATCGTTTATATATCTCCAACAAGTTAAAAAAGTATAGCTTACTTTAGTCATGTATTTCTGTATGATCTCAAACACCTAAATTCGAGCTTAATGTATCACCTGTTTTTCTTTGTTGATTATGCCGTATTACTGTCCGGTGTGTAACTAACTATTCTTGCCAGAACTCGAATAAATATCCATTTATTAGCAGTGAATAATGTGACTAAGATGTTTAATGATTTAGATTAGAAATATCTTGCTTGTCCTAATACTTTTAACTAACTGCTTACTATTAACATTGTTTGCTTTTTTTGTGCATAAATGTTTTTTATACAGAAAACTCTTTTAATTATATTTTGTTGCTAATCGTTGTTTTCTTAATTGTAACTGTAACACAGTCTTATGTATGTTGTAGTAGCCTTGACATTCATTATTTCTATATATTCTATTTATTTATACTAGAAAATTTCAAAACATATTTTACGGTGTTTGTTTTTTTCTTCTTCTATGATGGCTCTCAATTTGTTTTTGTTTTCGTTTCAGTTTTGTGTTCAAGTTTTTTTTTACTCTTTTTACTAACAACAAGAAAAAAAGTTGAATCAATATAAAAAACAAATGTAGTTTATGCTGGTATGTTGTAGAAGCAAAAACAAAATTCGGACACCAGAAATAGAATCACTAAAACTTGTAGCTTAATATACAACATATAAATCATACATGATATAATGTAGTCTGATAGAACACAGTTTTCGATCATTAATATAACTATATATGCACTATTTTGGCTGTTTAAACTGCACAAAATAAACATATAGTTGTAGAGAGTAAAATTTAACTAATTATTAGTAGATCACTATTACTCCTGAGTTTTTCAACATATGTAAAAAACGTCTTTCCTATATAAATATCGTCAAACTAATACGAAGACTCCATTGACGCATGGATAAAGTGATATCCATTCTCAACCTATGGTATAAGTAAGTATAACGAGATAAACTGATATAGTGCCGGTAGAAACTTCAAACATAACGGGTGCCACAGAATAAATGTTACCTTCAGCATTTCGTCAATATCTCTTTCAAATTTTATTGCCCAGACTTGAATTTTATTCAAAAGATTCCTCGTTCAGTTCTGTACAAAACAATGTAGTTTTATTAACATAAAAAATAATCGTCCTTGTTCGACGCACGAGATAATAGATTGTGGTCTAAAATGACAGTATCTTTCAGTTCTTTGACCAGAGTCCTGTTTGATATCACTTTGTCGTACTTGGTGGCGTGTACAAACTCATCCGAAGCAGAATAGTTCAAACGGTTCAATTTGGCCAACGATCCTTGTCGATGAACGAGGAAAAAAATGTCTCAACATCATTCTTGAATTAATAATAAATGTGTGATCTCGCGCAATCTTTCTGAGAGGTACGATCATTTCCGAAATCGTTGCTTTATTTGAGATCCACAGAAGAACGTTTTAGATATCTCGAGCATGATCGATCGATTCTTTGTCATAAATAATCAAGGACGTTAACACCTTGGAACATGCATCCAACCAAATCATAACCTTTTGAAGAAAATTTTATCTATGTTTGATGTCACTCATCTCATCGGTTTCAGCAGGATTCACTGCCCCTATCCGATTTTCTTTTGAGTAAAGTACCAGTAGTAGAGCCCGATTTTTGATATTTTACTTTCAAAATAACAGTCAGTGTCAAAAGTTCAAAATTTGAAAACGTCTCCCAACTCCAGGCAATGTTCCAACCAAACGTTATAAGAATTTCAAATAGAAGCCCTAAAATATGCATCGTAATCTAGTGTCACTTAATGTCAAAAGCGAACTTCGCGTTCACACCAGTTCGTAGCTGCAGGATTTCTCTGTAGCGATGCAGAGAGCTCGATTTGGTCTTAAAATGGAGCTAACACACGTGGCTAGAGGATAGTAGAGTCCGATTTTTTACACTTAATCTAAATTTGTGATTAGAAAAACATTTGTATGCAAGTTAATGAGATCTCATTTTGATTAGCACTGTTAAGAAATGCTACAACTAAGTTGCTTTAGAGCTACTTTTTCTGTCCATTTTGTATTGATAAGAGACAGTTAGTGCAAAAGTCAGTTGTTCAGCGTTTGCGGAAAACTACCTGAAAAACTTGCAGAAATTTTCGATGAAGGCCTTACTGTCATGGATTCTGACAACAGGCATCGTGGGTTATCTAATAATGTACTTAGCTCAATATTGACTTTTTTATAAAAATTTTGTGTTTCTGAGGGAGGCCTTAAGTACTTTGGCTTTTTACTAGCATCTAACCGAGGATCATAATAGACCGACATCCCACGTATAACGACATCGTAAAAACTTTTACTGTGGGGCGTATTATAACGACATGTCACTCTATTGTGTCATCTCACACCAAACAAGATATGTTTAGAAGAGCTGCACGTGCCTTGTCTTGTTAATCTGACAAAAAATCTGTAGATTTCTTAGACAAGGAAACAATTTTTTAACTCTAAATCTTTTTACTCTGTCAAGCGAGGTTCTCAATACCTTTAAAAAACAAAATTTCTCATCGAAAAATGTTTTTTAACCTTTGGACACAATAGACCGACAACCAATAGAGAACGACACTCTAAAATCTTGATGTGTCAGGACACAATAAAACGGCATGCCGCTCTATTTTGATCCCGGGTTTATTAACTTTCAAACTTGAGGATGAATAAGACCACGCATTATGTTTTAGTTAAAGTTTTAAGTTGACGAACTTGTGAAAGATAAACTAAAAAGTGATCTCTTTTTGGCATCTTCTACTGACCATTATCCTGAACAATGTTTGACCCATTGATGATTTAGGTGCTACACAAAAGCCGTATCATTCAGTAATCTACTTTTTAAGTGATATATCTTATTTGAACTGGCACACTTCATAAAATAAATTGATGAAATCATCAGTGGAATATTTAGTGTAGGTAATGTAAGTTAATTATTGATAAGAACGATCTGGATAAATATCCATACTGAAAAAAAATGAAATTATTGTTTATTCACGAGATTTGATTGATGACAAATCAAATGTCAAATAACTACGAGCAATAATAGTGAGAAATCCTTTATCTAACAGGTACTTATATATCAAAGCAATATTAGGTGATAATTGTGCAAGAAAATGATGATAAGGTAAGATGTGCACAGACTGGATATGACAAGAGAAAGGAAGTAGCAAAATAGATCACCGAGATCAACAAGTTCTTAATCTGTGGATGAGAACCGGTGATATTATTCTGCGTATATTCCATGGGTATTAGCCAGTTTCAAGGCTAATACCCGGCTGATATTTCGGTGATGATGGCCAAAAATAGTAGTAAGGCAGGTGTAATGAGACTCAATTGACTATCAAGTCTATAATGTTGATAAACGCTAAAAAATAAATGTCAATATTGAATCCTTCTAAGCAAATTCGTAAGACGAATTTTTCTATATATGAACTATTATATTCAAAATAAAAATTTTCAGAATATCAAAATCTTCATAAATCCCACATATTTATGTAATTTCCTCAAAAAAGTATCCTTTGACGGTTCTCATACATTTATTAGTTTGCTATTCACAAAATCAAAACATTTTCTCAACTTAAACTAACTCACCAAGTAACTTAGCAAAATGACGCTTCTGACAAACGATATATTTAATATACATTTTACTATTCATTTGTCTCACAAAATTGGATATATACATATACTAGTGAAAATACTTTGTTATTAGAGCAAATAATGTGATAAAAATATACGATATATTAAAACTGTGTTTCATTGATGCCCCATAAACTTGAACATTTATCCACGCAACCCACGACGGACTTTGTAATGTTTTAATTTGAATATATCTCACATTATCATATGGAGGTATAAATGTATGGACTAGTCGATCTCCTCTCAGTGTTGTAAAATTGAATTCTCTCACCATTTCTAAATGATTCTTATCCGCACCGACCAATATATGATGTATCGTTTCACCAGGAGGACATTGTTCTACATGTAAACGTATACAATAGATAGTGTGTTTTTGATTTAAATCTAATTGAACGTATTGTGGAGCAAAAGCACCTGCATTCCAGCCAATTATTTCTCGATGAGGATCTACAATCCATTGAGCCTGTTGTGCTGCTGTACCATGCGCTGTATAATGGTTTGAGAATGTTACTGTTGCTCTAAGCGAGAGAAGTGACGACAGTTTATGTAATGAAATGTAGTCACATATGGTATCTGGACACGACGATGAAACGTTTAAAAGTTCAGTTTCATTAGACAGTTGAGCTCTTGTATAGGTTAGTAAAACGGCACTTACTATTAAAAAAGAAAACATTTTAAAATGCATGGCTCCGTTTTTTAGTGTAAAAACAATCAATAACAAGTAATCCGTCTTTAATAAGAATGATAACACAAGCCTTGAAAATTAGTGTCGAGAAAAAAAAAATGCAATAACTTCAATTTTAAAGAGAACAATACTAAAACTTGTCCTTGAAAACGGCATGTATGCAACTTCAACGAATTACCTCGATTTATTGGGTATTAGTTATCACTCTAAAAAGATGTATTTCTACAGTACATCTATTGGAAACGTTTTCAATATCCTTGACTCGCGTAATAATGAAGTATAACTCAAATTATCGCAAAATTACACCGTCAATTTTATCGTTTCGAAAAGTAGTTTCTACTTTCTAAAAGTAAAAGAAAGCTATCTGGACAACCATCAGTCCGATCTGAGCAAGAATTTCAAGGAATTTTGGACATATTGAGGAAAAGTTATGGTATAATTTTTGAGACTCCATCTATTACGTTTTTAGAGATATTGCTCGAAAATGAGTCAAAATGGGCCATTACTGTCCGACAAATTTCTTCTCTAAGAAAGCAGCTGAAGAGCTCGGGATGGTTGTAAAATATTAGATTAAGTTAGAGTAACAACATAAAAGAGCTGAATTCTTGAATTTGTTCTGTGTCATTTTCCAAAGGATTTTATTTCAACAATTCGAAAAAGCGGAACAACTGGTATGTAAAACAAGGGCAGCCTAAATCAAAATTTCGGTTCTGGTATGTCATTTCTACGGCTGTTCGCTTCAATTTAAGACCGACCTGAGCTCTCAAACTTTAAAAATGGTTAAGAAATTTGGTAAACGGTGTTGTCTGCCAACGAAAAAGCGCTTTTGAGGTATGGTCTTACGAGGGAACCTCTCGAGGTGATTAAAAGTTTTTCGACTCAGACTATTTTCATCATGTAGGAAATAGTCAGTAGTGAAAAACCCCAAGTTGGTTTGGGCCCATGCGCCTTTTTGACGGAGATATGAGTTAATTAATGAAAATGCCATTAATAATAATTAATTAATAGCTCACGACCATGA